AAACTCGCTCATTTTGAGGCAGGAACCGGCGGACGTGCAACAACTTTAACTATGAGGTAAACACAAAACAAAACTTTCCATCCGGAGCTCCTTCACAGGACTCCACAGCTTGTAAACAATCGCTCGCGCCATTCGCGCGGCTCTCGGTCCCGCCCAGACTCGTCAACGCTACCAAGCCGACCAATCACAGAGCTTACGCTACGCGTCGTTGCGACGTGTAGTTACATTTGTTGAGAGGTGCACGTCAGTGACGGCCACGGCGAAGGGCTATGCGTCAGCGCCGTAGCATACGCCGGCGTTTGACGCAGAAGTATAAATCAGCCTTTAGATACAGCTTGCTCTTCAGGGTTAGCATTAGCATAAAGGCTAGTAGCGGATTTAGCCTCCCTACAGTTGCTTCGGTTTACGCTCAGAACAGCTAGACTCCGACACTTATAAACACTTATTTTCCAGTATAGGTAGGTTTAAGGTAATAGTATTTAGGATGAAAGCAATATAAAACGAAATTAAGTTTCACATGAGGACCTCAGCAGTTTGCGTCTTTACATGGCGCAGCTCTAACTGGAAGTCCAAACAAACAATATAACAACAATCACAATGAAAAACAAAACACTTAGCACTTATAACTCAAATGAAAGTGAAAGGAAAAAACGCAAATGATTCAGGCCAGCAGATTTGTCACATTTGAAAATGGGGAAAAAATAATGAATAATATTAGTACAAGGAAAAACAAAACAGGAGAAATAAAATGAGAATTTGGGGAAAGAAAAAAAAAAACCTTTTGCTTCTAACCCATGAAGTTAAGGGGACAATGGAAATGCGAGGGGAATGGTGAATGTGGAGGTTTGGATGTGAAGGTTAAGGGCGTCTACGACCCCAGCCGCTGAGTAGGCTACTGACTTCATGCCAGTGAGATGAATCGGTAAGATGATTTTGTTCCAGACACACTGCTCTGAACTCTTTGGTGATGCACTCATTCACAGACATCACAAGCACTTCAGTAACAAGACACAGTGTTTCTCACACCCAGTCGTTAAGTTTTTCACTGCTCGTCTCAACCCGGTTTCTCTACTCGTTTCCCCGCACTGCAACATTTCAGTTAACTTCTCTTTATTACGCACACCACATAATGCTGTTCTCTTTAACTCTCCTCCTCTTCCTTTATTCTCTGACCCATTTCCTCTTTGCCATCCCATGGGTGGAGACCAATTAAACAATGTTGACTGTCGTCAAAGAAAACACCAACAATCATAAATGCATGATTATATACTGTCATGGCTTTGCAATCCTTAAAATTTTGTTATAATCGAGGCCAATGGAAAAAAAACAGCCATGAATATAAAGAAAAGGGAGTAAATTTGCCCAGAGTGTGGTGATTTTTTTTATATTTCAAAGTATTTTCCCAGAAAATGTCAAAATAAGATGTCTCCAAATATCAGTCCGTTTGCTGAAACTCAGAGAAAGTTTTGGCCAAATTAAGCCTCAAAATCACCCTAGAATGGATGAAAATAACCCAACAGCACACAAGGGGAAAAGTGCACATTCCAGCCTTTATGCAGATGCTGTACAGATATGTCTCATGTCTGCGAGGCAAATATTCAGCTGTTTGGTCAGCTGTTACCCCAGAACGTTTTTTCTGATGCATTAACCAGTCAGGCACAGAATTAACAAGTATTCTCTGTCTGCTTAACACATTAAAAAAAAAACATTTTGTTGTAATTGTAAATATTTACGAATAAAAATAGGCCATTTACAGCTTTCAAATCTGTCTAATTAACATGACCGAAATGACTTTTATGATTAATTATGTCAGGAAGTCTGAAAACTGTTTCAATTTACTATAACTTCTATGTTAAGTGGCTTTGACATAATTTACATAGTAAAAGCACTAGATAAATAAAGATGAATTGAATTGATTCTGCTGAAATGTGTACATGTTAATGGACCAAGCAAAATATGATTTGATTTATTCCAAATTTAATGTGCATCAAAATTACAGTGTGTGTAGCCAATGTTTCCAGTGTCTTTTCACTTTTCAGCTTTTGATGAGAATTTTAAGACTTAATGTGTGAGGGAGCCGTAGGTGAAGACATGGAGGCGGATTGAATCCAAAAGCTGGAGGTTTATTAAACAAACAACTAGCATCAAACAAAGGCAGAATCGTGATCATGAACCGGGCAACAACAAGCAAACAAAAAGGCAGTCCGAAAAGGCAAACAAGGCAGAGTCCAAAATCCAAAAACAGTGGTCAAAAAGAGCAGGCAAAAAGGTCATAACACAATGGCAGAAATAGCAGTAGGAAAACGCTTAGTAGGCAGTGAAACTGGCAATACTTCACAATGAACACACAAAAGCAGTAGCTGCGTCCCAAATCGCATACTTATGCACTATTCTACGCCATTTTGTAGTATAAATAGTGTAAGTAGTGTGTTCACGCTGAAAAGTCTAAAAATAATAAGTGCACTTTAATTACCCGGATGATGCACTCATTCAGCCGCTAAAACGAAGTGTGTAATGATGGACACTTCACACACTCAACTACCGCAGGTTTGCTTACGTAGCGGAAGGGGCGGAGCTATCGGGCACACATGTTGAATAACTTTATTTATTTTGGATGGTGAAAGCAAAGTGTGATTATAATGTGATTATATAGTGATTATAGCGCCTCCCGATGGTGAATGCGGTCATACTCACGGCAGGTATTATCTGATAACTCGGTCGTTTATTTCACTGATTTGGTGACCGTCAAACGTCATTAGAGAAACGGTTTGAATTTGTGCTTAGTAAAACAACATTAGTGTGCCATTTGGGACGCCACTACATACATATACTATCCTGTTGAGTGTGTAATTGCATAAGTACATAGTGCATGAGTGCATAGTGTATAGTGTGCCATTTGGGACGCAGCTAGTGTGCTTAAATATGGTGGCTACCAGGAAGTACCACAGAGGAAGTACCCAGTCAATATTCGGGAGAGAGCTCCCTCTGGTGGGCGGATGAATGGTAAGCTGCCATATTCGTTACAGAATCCCCCCCTCTATTAACACCTCCTGGTGTTCTTCTCATAGGTCTACCCCTTGGACGTGGTGCAGGGCGATCTGAATGTCGCTGGTGAAAAGGCAGGGAAATGACAACGTTTTTGTAAGGCAATTGTTAATACAGTAAGTTGACCACTGAGTGAGTTCACCATGGTTCCATGAAATGATAGGATCATGAACGGCCAACCAAGAATGGCCCAATATCATTTGGTACTTGCATGAAGGGACTACATAGAAGGTGATGGCTTCTTTGTGAAATAGTCCAATTTGGAGAGACACTGGTGCAGTGGTAGCAGTAATTCCAGAACCAATAGGGCTATTGTCTATTGTGGTTATGTTGATTACTGGGACACAGGGAGTTGTAGGAATCTTGAGTTTGTCCGTGAGTTCTTGATTGATGATGTTAACCACTGATCCAGAGTCTACTAATGCTGAAATACATTGAACAGCAGTATCAAATTCAATTCTGCATTCCAAAAGAAAATTTTGGCGATGGGAAATTTCAGTGGTACTCACATGATATTGTGGAGCATGGCTCTTCTTGGTCTTGAGAGGGCATGCAGCATTTTGGTGATTTTCACCTCCACAATAGTAGCATAGATTCTCCCGCTGCCGTCGTTCTCTCTCGTTGGAGGAGATGCGGGTAGAGGCAATCTGCATGGGTTCTGGGGCATCATGACTTGTCATGGCAGGTTCAGATTTGATTTGTAAAACCCGGCGTGAGCGTGGAGTGTTGCGCATAAGATTGTCTATTTTAATGGCTAAAGTGATAAGCTCATTAAAAGACAGATCAACTGCTTTGCATGCTAATTCAGCTTGTAATTGTGCATTCAGTCCTCGTTTAAATACAGCCTTGAGAGCCACATCATTCCAACCGCTTTGTGCAGCTAGTGTTCGAAAGTCAATAGCATAATCTGCAGCAGTGCGGTTTCCCTGTTTGAGATCTAGTAATTGTTCAGAAATGTCTTGTCCTCCTTCAGGATAACCAAAAACTTCATTGAGTTGAGAAATAAAATGGTTAAACGAAGACTGTACATGTAAATCACTCTCCCAAACAGCTGAGGCCCAGTCTAAAGCTCGTCCGGTTAATAAGGACATCATTACAGCACATTTCTTAGTATCATGAGTATAGGTTTTAGGCTGACTAGTAAAAAAGACTTTACATTGACGAATGAAGCCACGACAAAGTTCTGGCGAACCATCAAATTTATCAGGTAATGCTAGTCTTACCGGTGAGCTTTGAGGAGCAGGGAGAGAATGGATGAACTGTGTGAGACGGTCGTTGGCCTCCTTTAGATGCATCAACTGTTCCTGATACCCAGATAGCATTTCGCTTTTATAATTGAAAGCTGCTTGTAAATTAGAAACCTCCGCTGGATTGATGTTAGGCGAAGTATTCTGTGAGGGAGCCGTAGGTGAAGACATGGAGGCGGATTGAATCCAAAAGCTGGAGGTTTATTAAACAAACAACTAGCATCAAACAAAGGCAGAATCGTGATCATGAACCAGGCAACAACAAGCAAACAAAAAGGCAGTCCGAAAAGGCAAACAAGGCAGAGTCCAAAATCCAAAAACAGTGGTCAAAAAGAGCAGGCAAAAAGGTCATAACACAATGGCAGAAATAGCAGTAGGAAAACGCTTAGTAGGCAGTGAAACTGGCAATACTTCGCAATGAACACACAAAAGCAGTGTGCTTAAATATGGTGGCTACCAGGAAGTACCACAGAGGAAGTACCCAGTCAATATTCGGGAGAGAGCTCCCTCTGGTGGGCGGATGAATGGTAAGCTGCCATATTCGTTACATAATGAAAACTAATGTTTTATTTATTTATTTCAGACCTAATTAAAGAGAATGAGGAGAGTAAAGAGAAGGAACATCTTGTCAAAATTGAGGAAAAAACTCATTTACAGACTGATGGTATTTTAAAAAGGAGAGACAAGAATCATTTTACCTGCACTCAGTGTGGGAAGAGTTTCACCCAATCATCATCCCTTAATCAACACACGAGGATCCACACTGGAGAGAAACCATTCACATGCACTGATTGTGGGAAGAGATTCAGCAGATCATGGCACCTTAATCAACACACAAGGATCCACACTGGAGAGAAACCATTCACATGCACTGATTGTGGGAAGAGTTTCAGCAGATCATGGCAGCTTAATCAACACATGATGATCCACACTGGTGAGAAACCATTCACATGCATTCAGTGTGGGAAGAGTTTCTGCCGATCATCGTCCCTTAATCTACACATGAGGATCCACACTGGAGAGAAACCATTCACATGCACTCAGTGTGGGAAGAGTTTCAGCCAATCATCAAACCTTAATAAACACATGAAGACCCACACTGGTGTGAAACCATTTACATGCACTCAGTGTGGGAAGAGTTTCAGCCAATCATCAGACCTTAAACAACACATGATGATCCACACTGGAGAGAAACCATTTACATGCACTCAGTGTGGGAAGAGTTTCAGCCGCTCATCACACCTAAATGAACACACAATGATCCACATCAGAGAGAAACCATTCACATGCACTCAGTGTGGGAAGCGTTTCAGCCTATCATCATCCCTTAATCTACACACGAGGATTCACACTGGAGAGAAACCATTCACATGCAGTCAGTGTAGGAAGAGTTTCAGCCAATCATCAAACCTTAAAAAACACATGAGGATCCACACTGGAGAGAAACCATTTAGATGCACTCAGTGTGGGAAGAGTTTCAGCCAATCATCACACCTTAATAAACACATGATGAGCCACACCATTCAGAGTAACCATTCACTTGCACTTAAGCCGCGGTAACACTGGACTTTTCTCCCCATAGACATCCATTCACAGCAAATTCATTGGTGTTAAATTTCAAGTGTTGTGGTAATTCAGAGTAAAGTGTTAAAATTTTAGAGTTAGATAAAGGTAAAATAACCCTCTCAGCTTTAGAAGCTGATTTGCCTCCTTGTCATACAGAGTAACATGTATCTATCTTGTATTTAGGTAGATAAACCCTTGTATTTGATAAACTAATCAGAGTGTCTGATCTCGCCCTACACCCTCATTCACCTGGCCCTTAAATTAGTCTATTAGTTTAGTCCACTAGGTTTAAGCAAAACCGCAGGTTTGCTTACGTAGTGGAAGGGGCGGAGTTATCGGACGCACATGTTGAATAACTTTATTTATTTTGGATGATGAAAGCAAAATTCTCCTACGAGAGTGATTATAGTGCCTCCCGAATGTTACGGCAGGTATAATTTGATAGTTCGGTTGTTTATTTCACTGATTTGGCAAGCGTCAAACATCATCAGGGAAACGGTTTGAATTTCCATTTAGTAAAAAAAACATTAGTGTGCCATTTGGGATAACACTACATACATATACTATCCTGTTGAGTGTGTAAGTGCATAGTGCATGAGTGTACAGCGTGCCTTTAACACGCAGCTACAGACATCAAGAATCAGGATATGAACCTCAACCGTGGTTGCTAAAAAGAAAAAAAGCTGCATAGTTCATGCCGCAATGCATGCTGGGTGCCAGCATAGTACAAAGCTCCCAGCATGCATTGCAGCATAAATAAATTATGCAGCTTTATGTTTTTACAATGGGAGACAGATCTTTTAGCTCTATGGCTCCAAGGCTATGGAACTCACTTCCAGTAGATCTTAGGAGCAGTGATAGTCTTCACAATTTTAAATAAAGTCTAAAGAATTATCTTTTTAAGCAGGTTTTTACTTAACATTTTTTATCATGTTTTTATTATGTTCTTTTATATTTGCTATTGCGTTTTAACTTGTTTGGTCAATGATTGTTTTTAGTAATGTTTATTTTTTTTGTTTGACTACTGATGCTTATTGTAAGGCGACCTTGGGTGTCTAGAAAGGCGCCATCTACAAATAAAATTAATTATTATTCCAATCTCTTTCTTTTCCTTTATTTTGTTTTGTTTTTGGGAGGTAATGTTTCAGTAGTGTTTGGTTTTATTCTGGGTTGTTTTTTTTAATTGATTTTTATTTATCTTTTATCACATTCTCATTGTGAATGGTGTTTTTAAACCTGTTAATAAGTCATCAGTTGTTGGAGCTTCAATGGTTTAAATTATGTATATTATGTATGTCTTACACATAATTAATATGATACTGAATCGGAAAACAAGCAGGAGAAGATGGCTTTGATATCATAAATAATCTCTTCAGACTGACATATAATTTTTCTTTTGGCTTTCTATGCTATATGTATAACTAGTATGATTAACACTAAAGTCTATAGCAGCTAAAATAAAATATATTTTATAGCAAGAAGTTGAAGAGCCTGACTAAAGCAGACTCTGTCCTCCATCATGGTGACTTCAAATGAACAACAGAAATTTCATTAAGAGCTTTTGTTCACATGACAGAAATCAAGTCAAAGGTCAGTAATAGGTGAAGCTCCATGATAAGTTGTTTAATGTGATGAGTTGTTTTAAAGATGTTGAAAAATAACATTTTTTATTGTGTAATTAGTTTTATTTTTATTGATCATTAGTTTATTTGGAGTTCTTTTTTTCTCTGTTGATTTCATCTTTGGTTTTGGCTGTAATTTGTGTTTTTCTTTCCAGTGATTCCGCTGTTAACAGTTGTTCATCAATAATTCTCAATCCTCCTTTAATTAGACACTTTATTGTCTCATTAACTTCATTACTGAGTGTTCAGCCCTCTGTAGTGAGGACACTAGTGAGGATTCTGCTCTGGGATTTAAGGCTTAAGTGTGTTTGAATGAAAAATAAAGACTATGGGATTTGTTTTTAACAGAAATATTCTGGAAACTGAATTTACGAATGTAAAATGTTGAAAACAGCAGATTACTGGCAACCACAGCTGCTAGTATTTTGACATACATTTAACAGATATTTTACACAATAATTTTGCTAATTAACACTCTGAGTGTTAAAAATTTTAACACTTTCAAAAGTGTTATTTTAACACTTTTATAGTGATTCCCATATAAACATTGAGAGAGTGTTAATTTTAACTCTAAGGTAGTTAAATCTACCAAATCTAAAATTTGCAGTGTGAGTTCGATAAAAAAATACAGACTGTGGAATGTTTTTTTAACAGAAGAATTCTGTAAAATGAATTTATGAATGTTAAAAACAGCAGATTACTGGCAACCACTACTGCTGGTATTTTTGCGTAAAATCAAAAAATGAAAAAAACAAAAAAAGAAAAAAAACAGCAAAACGTTTTTTGTGTTCTAAGTCCAAGATGAACTGAGAGTATTTGATGTTATACTGCATTTTCTTTTGTTTAAAGGTAACTGTAGTTACTAATGCAGTCAAAATCTGTTTGCTAGTTGCAATCACACATGAACATATTATTGCATCTAAAGACTTTACATTTTTGTGCATGTAGCGGCTACGTGGAGTAACAGCTGAGAGGCTAAACCAGAGACATGTTTTGTAACGCAAACATCAAATGTACACAAGGCAAGAAGTCGTTCCAATGTCATCACTCGTTTATTTTCCAATATAAAACATACCTTGATCTTTTGACAGTGTAGACTTTGATTCAGGCTTAAGTTTGATTTCGTTTGAGTTTGTTTGTCTTTGTTTGGTCAACAAAGAGTACCGCGTCCCCGTTCACCCCCTCTCTCTCTCCTTCCTAAGTTGTGAATGAACAGGTGCCACCTATAAGCGCACTACGTAACCCCGGTGACCCTCCACCACAATCATGTGACACGTTAACCATTTCATGTCTACTACAATCCAGCCCCTAATTATTACATAATAATTACATTAATATAAATAGAGACATGAAAACATTCAAAAGGGAAAATTCTTGATCCTTCTTGCTTCAAGGGAAAACAAAAAGTAAAGTGTTCATGTTATATCGTCCTCCGTTTCTTGTAGAAGACAGAGTTTTGTTATTGGTCTGTCGAGACAGCTGTATTTGGTCTTCACTTGTACATGACGGACAAATCCTCTTTTGTCAGGAAAGGTTTGAATTATACGTCCTAGCGGCCATGAGTTCCGAGGTGCTGTGTTGTCAACTAGAAGCACTATGTCTCCTGCTTTCAAGTTGCGCTTGACTTTTAACCATTTTTGACGCTCTTGAAGCTGTGTTAGGTACTCCAGTACCCACCTTTTCTAGAACAAGTCTGACATGTACTGTACTTGTCTCAATCGTTTACGAGCATATACTTCGTCCTTCTTAAATTGTCCTGGTGGTAAGGATGGAGAAGTCCTCAGAAGTAGCAGATGATTCGGTGTTAACGCTTCTAAATCCGTTTGGTCAGTGGATGCTTTCGTTATTGGACGACTATTAATAATAGCCTCCACTTCACACAATACCGTTTGAAGTCCTTCTTCATCCAGATTCTGCGACTTCAAGGTAGAATTTAGGATTTTTCGCACAGATCTAATTAATCTCTCCCAAACTCCGCCATAATGTGATCCAGTACGGGGATTAAATGTCCACTTGATACCTTTCTGCAGAAGAACATTGTTGATCTTACATTGATTCCATTCCTTTATGGCAACTCGTAGTTCTTGTCCGGCTCCAACAAAGTTCCTTTCATTATCTGATCGAATTTCCTGCACTTGACCACGTCGTGCAATGAAACGGCGAAGTGCATTTATAAAGGAATCGGTATCCAAGGAAGGTGCTACTTCGATATGTACTGCTCGAATGGCCAAACAAGTGAAAATAACTCCATATCTTTTCACTACACTTCTTCTGCTTTTTACATTAAAGGGTCCAAAGTAATCTACCCCTACACGTGTAAATGGTGGTTCATTAGGAGTGACTCTCTCCGATGGTAAATATCCCATCTGTTGGCATCCTGGAAGTGCATTCAACCTTCTACAAGTAACACACTTTGACAATACTCTTCTTATTGCTGTACTCACACCAGTAATCCAATATTTCTGCCGCAATTTTGACAGCATATAATTGCGGTCACCATGACCTACTTCTTTGTGGATATGTTGTGTTGTAAAAAAATAAATGAGTGAAAAGAAGAGAAGAACCCAGTCCAGGAGACTCGAAACAAGCAGAATTCCTTTGAGACGTGTTGGTTAATCTGCAGTCATACAGCGTCTTTAAGATGTCCGTGTCCGCAAGAGCCTACTAGAGGTCCGCAGTCTGCAAGTTCTTTCACGAGTCTCTCACAAGTCTCACACAAGTCTGAATTAGTCTCAATTAAGACAAAGATTTCATGGCTATATTGTGTTCTTAGGAGGAGGGGATATAGCTAAACAAAGCATGCAAATTCAGTATTGGAGTCAGCATGGCATAGGTGTTAAAAAACGGCCCAGCTACTGACCACACAAGTTAATCAACATAGGGTTTCTGTAGCATAAAAGCAACACCCGAAGACAAAGACAGAGTCGTTTAAAGCATTTGCATCACTGACTTAGCCTGTAGTCAGAAAGATAAAAGGTTAAATGTCCCTCCTAGCTGGGATGTTAATGAAATTATATAATTAAAAACCAAAGAATATAACTTTTCAGTTATACATAGATTATTGTTCATTTGGAATTAGTTGATAGAAATTTATATTTCCACAGTTCCCCCTTTGAGAGTTATTTAAAAACTCTCACAAAAAAATATAAATTTATAAGCTTTCCTAAATCCATTCAATGGCTTCTGTTTGATAACAGAAGCCCCATCTTCCAGTCATGTAACTTGGAAAAAGTTACAGGCACATTTAACTTATTCTGTGTCATTTCAATATCTACGTAGATGTAAGTGTAGATTTATTAACTGTTCACACGTTTATGACAATCAGTTGTAATGTCATAAATCCTACATGATGACACAAAAAATCATGTAGTTAAACTGCAGATCTTCTGAAAGTCCATGGCTTGTGAAGTGTTCAGTCTTTTGTGAGGTGTGTTTCTTGTGGTTCTTCTCCAGCACAGAGTTGATCTGATGACTTCCTGTCATTCATGGATCTCCGTAGTGATGCTCTGGTTCAGAGTGTTTCTTCAGAAGATGCAGTGTTTGTGTTTAACTGCACACAAGAAAACAAGGAAATAGCAGACCAGCAGTATTCATGCATAGACTTGTATGATCATAGTTCGTGTGTCTAGTTATTCAGGTGATCGTATAGTGGTTATGTTAAGTTGGTGATCGTATAGTGTTGTGTATTTTCTGTCTTCTAATCTTAAAGTTATGACACCTATAAAACAGTGAGGTGAGGATAAATGGGGAAAAAGGGAGTCTTCACCACAGGGTGCGGCCCCTAAAGCCTGTTGCTTTCAGTTCTGCCCTGGGCTCCTCACTGGTTTGTGTGTCCTGTTCTGTCCCTGAGTGTGGTGGGCAAACTTTAAGATGTGAGACACAAACTATCATTCAATAAATATCAGTCCTATCAGACATCATAACATTGAATGGGTAGTGATTGGAAAATGTGTTAAACACATTCAAGGCTGTAAGTGGACTTAAATAGAGTTCCCTAATACAAAGGAAGAAGTTTCCTTTGTCTTTTTACAAAGAGTCTTTCATCTTAATTGTAAATGAACTGGGACATTAAGCACTCACAGCCAAAAAATGGTTAGCATCTTTGTGGACAGCTCAATGGATTTAGTGATGAGGGGAGAGGTATGTTGAGGGCATTTAGCAAACTGTTCAGAAGTTGATTTACCCTGTTCATCTCTTTAAAGTTCTTTTTATTCTTTCTACACTCCCTCATCCAATGTCCTTTTTTACCACAGTAATGACAACAGATATTTTTCCTAAGACATTTGTGATTTGATGTCTTTTCTGTGTTGACCTTAGTGGCGGCTGCTTCAAATCTGACTCTGTCTTTGATATGAGAGTCTCTTTCCCACAAAGCTAAACTGTTCAGATTATTTCTGAGAGTGGTGGAAGACCAGGTGATATTAAGAAATGGCAAAGCTTGTCTGTATTCAGTTGCAAGGCCATCTGACCAGATGCGGACTAGGGGTCCCTTATCATTTAGCACACTGTCCAATGTATCAGCTAATCCACTGTAAGTTATGGCGCATTGACAAAATCTCTCTGTGAATTCATTCACAGATTCATCTTTCCTTTGCACACAACAAGTCACTTTTGACCAGTCGATCTTTGGGCCAACAATGTTCTTTAGAGCTTTCAAAACACCCTCTCTCAAATCATCCTTACTGGCATGTTGTAATTTAGAGGTCACAGTATGCTCAAAACTGTTGAATTCAGATTCTGTTAGAATTTAAGACATTAGCTGGGTGACTTCTGTTAATGACATGTCATAAAGACGCATTTTGCTCAACAGTGCTCTGCTAAACTCTGAAAAATTTGTGCGTGCTGATGGTAAGCTTTGAGACAGTCTGTCTATTTCTTTAGGTCCTAGTGTTCTGGAAACTGTTTGAATTTGAACAACAGAAGTGTTGTTGTGTGAACTCTCAGTCCTCTTAGATCTTCTGGCACCACAAACCTCCACTGAACCTATGAGCAAATCACTATCTGACTGGATGGAAATGTATGTTTCAGAGACAATTTGTAAGTCAGGATGTTTATTATCAGGCTAACTAACCTCCTCAATGTCAGTTTTTGATTTCTTGAGGTTCAGTTGTTTTGTTAATGAGGTTATCTTAGCATGAAGCTCTTGGATCTGTTTTTCTAATTCTGATTTAGCTTGAGCTTGTTGTTTAGCTCGAGATAAACTGAATTCTCTGTAGCAGCAGATAATGCCTTTTACATTGTTTTTGCGAATGCATGCATCAAGCACTTTCTTGCATTCATCTAATGTCCAAACATTATCTGGGTCAATGCTAAATTTCTTTGTCAAATTTAGCCTGACTGACTCTGTTATTTAGTCCATGTGCTGTCGTAGCAGCGATTTGAAATCCTGATCTGACAACAAAGGAGTTGTTAAACTACCTTTTTCAGTTGTAGTGATCAGTCTTGTATTCTGTCTGAACATTTTGTGAGCTTGTTATCACAAAGTAAAAATACTTAAACTTTTCTGATGAAAGTGTAGTAATTTCTTCTCTGGCGAAACAGAGGGTAACAATATTAGCACATGTTGCTAAAACTTCCTGCCTGAACAAGAGATAACATAAATTAGCTTGTATCGCTAAAATTAAACTTCTCTGGTTGAACAGAGGGAAAAACGAAATAAAAGAAAAGAAAATAGCATGCAAGGCTTTACTTCTCTGTCTGAACAGAGGATAACTTTTTAAAAGAAAAATAGCACGTAAGGCTTTACTTCTCTGTCTGAACAGAGGATAAACTGTTACTTCACTATTGAAATAGAGGATAACTTTTTGTTAAACAAACCCTGCAGGTGTTTGTTAACTTTTCTCTGATGGAGCAGAGAATAACCATGTGTATAGACTGGTCTGTATGGTTCTTTTGATAGAGTGAAACTCACCAAATTGAGGTTGAGCTGAAAAGATTCAGTCTGGAGTGATCTGATCTTTGTATTCAGGTCTTCAATGTTCAGGGTTGCAGTCAGCAAATAGTTGAGAATTTGTGACGTCCGCTGAGTGACTTCAAATTGCCATTGAGCTGAAGATTCCGTCTGAAGAAGTTTTCTTGATCTTGAAGCTTCAAGTTGAATTCCAGGAAGATTTCAGTCTTCTGTGGCAAATTGTTGAGAATTTGATAATTTCAGTCTCTATCCGGCTCACGGCACCAAGTTGTTGTAAAAAAAATAAAAAAGAAATGAGTGAAAAGAAAAGAGAACCTAGTCCAGGAGACTCGAAACAAGCAGAATTCCTTTATTGAGACGTGTTGGTTAATCTGCAGTCATACAGCGTCTTTAAAATGTCCATGTGTCTGCAAGAGCCTACTAGAGGTCCGCAGTTTGCAAGTTCTTTCACAAGTCTCACACAAGTCAGCAAATAGTCTAATGATTTCATGGCTATATTGTGTTCTTAGGAGGAGGGGATATAGCTAAACAAAGCATGCAAATTAAGAGTTGTGGTCGGCAGGGTAAACTGCTTTTTCCGGCCTGATCTTATCATGTTCTGAAGACAAAACCTCCTGACCATTTGATTGAAAAGAGTAAACGATAGACACCCCATGCTGTGAAACTGATAATTGCATCACTTTGGCTTAGCCTGTAGTCAGCAAGGCAAAGGTTAAATGACCCTCCTAGCTGGCATGTCAATGAAATAATATAATTAAAAACCAGAGAATATAACTTTTCAGTTATACGTAGATTATTGTTCATTTGAAATTAGATGATATAAATTTATATTTCCACAAGGAGTACCATTCTCTGTCAATTGTTTTGGTGTTATAAACTCTCCTACTTTTACCTTAATTGATCTCTTGCAAAAAAAAAAAAAAAAAAAAAAATCTTTAACCCAATTAAACATTCTCCCTTCTACTCCCATTTTTTCCAGTTTCATTAACAGTCCATCATGCCATGCCATATCATAGGCCTTTTCAATATAAAAAAAATACTGTTCCAACCGATTCTTTATTTATTAATGCTTTTCTTATATCTGTCTCTAAACATACTACTGGATCCATAGTCCCTCTTCCCCCCCCCAAAGCCACTCTGATTTGGTGATAATTTCTTACCCTTTTCCAAATGATACATTAATCTGTCAGTTTTTTCCATTATTTTACCGAAATGAGATGCAAGTGCTATTGGTCTGCAGCTGTTTGGATTACTATAATCTTTTCCTGGTTTCTTAATTGGTCTTATTAAAGCTTCTTTCCAACTCTTTGGCAAAATTTCTTCTCTCCATACCTTGTTGTAAAAATCTAACATAACTCATAGCCTTGTCACTTAAATGTTTAATCATAGTGTAACTTTATCTAAACCAGGGGAAGATTCTTTTACTCTGTTTATACTCTTTACAGTTCTGCCATTTCCAACGGAACATCCAAAACACTGCCCGTTTCTTCTTTCCGTTGCTTTATCATAGGATTACTTGATAACACCTCCTCCCTGATCCTTACTCTATCCTCACACAAATTTTTAGAGGAGTTTACTTTGGTGAATGCTTCTTTTAGCATCATAGCCTTTTCTCTGTCATTCACCGCCATCACATTTCCTTCTTTGAGCACAGGAATTTCCACATCTTTTCTATTTCCTCTCATTTTTCAATCATATTCCAGATTTCCTCTTCTGGTGTACTTCATATTTCGTTACAAAATTCCCTCTAGTATTCTTTTTTTGTTTGCCTTAATACTCGCCTAACTTTTGCTTGAACAGTTTTATATTCTATCAAACTTTAAAAGTTAAAAAGTTTTAAAATGCCTTCCTTTTTCGTTTTATGACTTCTTTGCATTTCTCATTCCACCAAGGCACTATCTTCCTCTCCCTTCCCCCTTTACTCTTTGGAATATATTGTTCAGCTGCCTCCATAATTACTGCTACTATTCTGTTGGTTATTTTTTCATTGTCAGATATCTCCATTTTATCCAGTGTTTTTAACCCTTCTTCACTAACTGCCATAAATTCTTCCCAGTTTGCTTTTATATAAATCCATCTCCCACCAATCTTTACACAAGACTGAGTGTGTGAGCTGCTTATATGAGTGAGCGTGGTTCATCAGTGTGATGTGCTGCAGGTGTGTGTGGAAATTAGTGTTTGTGCATGACGTCATGGTTAAAAGTCCGGTGATGGTGACCTCTGCTGGCCAGCGAGGGGAATGACTGGGACCGAGACAGTGACATTACAGGTCAGCTGCATCTTGTGTTAACCATACTCCTAAGTATTTAAGGGAGTTTAGTTTCCAATTAATATTTAATTTATGTTGAAGTTTATTGTTTGGGTTGTAGCCAAATTATAAAATTTGAGTTTTTTGTATATTTAATTTGTACCCAGAGAGTTCTCCAAACCTTTTAAGAACAAGAAGCAGACTAGAAAGTGATTCATCTGGATTGGAGAGATATAGTAGCACATCATCCGCATATAGAGCAATTTTATGGTCTACCTTATTAATGTTGATCCCCCCCCCCCCCCCCCCCAATTGATTTTTCTTCTCTAATTGCCTGGGCTAGAGGTTCAATGTTCATGTCAAACATCAGGGGAGAGAGGGGACAACCCTGCCTAGTTCCTTTTTCTATTTTTATCTTTTTTGAAAAACAACCATTTATTTTTATCCTAGCCTCTGGGTTTAAATATAAACATTGAACGCTTCTAACTGTATTTTCTGTAAATCCAAATCTATATTAAACATTAAATAAATATTCTTAATTTACACAGTCAAATGCTTTCTCTGCATTTAGGCTAACTAAAATTGCTTTAATGTGATCTTTATTAATTTGTCATATTGCATGAAGTATCTATCAAATCAGGTAAAAATGTTTCAAGTCTCTTGGCTAAATTAGAGGCAAATAATTTGTAGTCTACATTTAAAACAGACACAGGTCTAAATGAACTACAAAGAGTTTTATCCTTCCCCTCTTTAGGTATGACTGAGATAATTGCTTTCCTCCAAGAAGGGGGAATTTCTGCCTCTTTAAGTGTCTAATTAAATGATGATATAAGAAGAGGTGAGATCTCTTTTTTAAATGTTTTCAACCATTCAGAAGGTAGACCATCAGTGCCTGGTATTTTATTATTTTTAAGATTATTTATAGCTTTATCTAATTCATCCTCTGTAATTTCTTTTGTTAGGAGACTATTTTGTTCCCATCCAATACAGGGAAGATCAAGAGAATCCAAAAAAAGCTTTAATTGATGTATTATTTACCTGTGTCTGTTGTGAGTATAAAGATTTATAATAGGTTTCAAATGCCTCTTTAATTTTATCCAGACTATACAATATTTTTCCTGAGTTGGGGTCTTTTTATCTTATGTATTGAAACCTTTTGTTGTTGTTTTTTAAGTTTCCATGCTAGCCTTTTTGTTGCTTTTGGTCCCGTTTCATAAAAGGCTTGCCTTAGGAATTTTTATTTTTTTCTCTATGTCCTCTCTATACATCTCATCTATTTTATTTTTTATATTTTTGATCTGTTTTAAAATCTGGATATCTTTACTAGTTGCATGTTGTTAATTGCTTTAAATTATCTTTAAGAATCCTAAATCGAAGTTCTTTTATCTTCTTAAGGGTTGCTGTAATAGAAATGATCTTGCCTTGTAATACAGCTTTAGCTGCATCCCATAAGATTATAGGACTTACTTCCCCATTATCATTATTCTCTACGTATAATTCAATTTCTAATTTAATTTGGGCCACTACTTCTGTTTTCCCTAGTATACTTGTATTTAGCCTCCATATTTTATCAGCTTTTCTGTCATTCAAATTTAAAGTGAGGTACAATGTTGCATGATCTGATACATCGGCCGCTTTCATTTCACATTCTTTTACCATGTGTCTGTCCCTGCTAAACATAAAAAAATATTAAATTCCACTGTAAACTGCATGGGGTGAAGAATAATGGGAGTATTCTCGTTTTGAGAACCAGACTCAGTTGGGCACGACCATTTTAATTTCTCCGCTGGCCAAAAGTCTTGTGCAGAACTTCATTCGTCGTGGTTTAGGCTGGAAGATGGCCTCAATGAAGACTCGTCTGTCCCTGGAGCGTCGCTGGAATCAGACACATGTTCTCCACTCCCCACGACCATCAGCGCAGCAGCAGCTCAGGATATGGCCTGGTCCCGGATATGGAATCCTTGGGATCATCACGTCGCTGGTCTTGGATCCAATCAGTGACTCCGCCTAATCTGAGGACCTCGGGATGAGTATCCCCAGGTGAAAATAGAGAATAAAGAGAATAGAGAGATGGGGAAAGGTGTGTTTCTTGCAAGTATATGATTTGTTTTTTTTTTAACG